GGATATTCTATACCATCTTTTTCCAGAAAAGGTATTTATAAATTAGATATTATAGCTAAAGAATCTATATTATATTATATATTAATCAGGTACATAGCTGAATTACTAAAATCCTTGTTGTTGAGTTGTGATTTATTTTGAGTCTTAAGTATTCATGATAATGGGGTATTCTTTAAATTCTGGGGCAATGTTGTCTACAGAGAATGGCATAAGTGCTCTTGAGTTATGAGAAATAAATGTGTGCCCTTATAAAGTGAACATAAATGGGGAACAGGGCCTGAAAGAGTGATAAATTACATGATAGTTCAAGAAAAATTGGGAGACATTACTTGAAGTGAGCATTTTTAATAATCCTCCTCATGGCTGGGTGACATTATGGTATATTATAGGGGATGGCAGAAGTGTGTCAGTCAGTAGAGGTTCTTTTATACCATTTATAACACAGTATATCCATGGCACAAATAAAATGATCAAATTGGATGAAATCTAATTCTCATTCCTTTGCTCTTTTAGCGGGCACTGATGGGGCATCACCTTGCAATGACACACGCTGGGTGCAGAAGTGGCAGTCGTGGCAGTCATCAAGGCCGCTCAGGAGAACCAGCCTTTCTCTGGGCTCTGGATTCTGGCATGCTACAGGAAGACACTCCAGTCGCCGTCTCCTACGGGCCATCCCCAGACATGTCGCCCAGATACTGCAAGCAGATGTGCTCTGGCAGATGGGACACACTGGTATGTGTTAAAGAATGGGCTGTTGTAATTAATTTTCTACTACCTTTGGAGATCGGGTTTGCGATGAAGCTTGTGTTACTGTTTGTGTTCGTTTGCAGGCTCTGGGGTGAAGGTAGCAGTATTTGACACTGGGCTGAGTGAGAAGCACCCTCACTTTAAGAATGTTAAAGAAAGAACCAACTGGACCAATGAGAAAACACTGGATGATGGTGAGACATAAAACAATGTCATGAAACAGGTTTAACACTAGAACCGCCAGAGGTCGCTGTATACCTAAAAGCGCCAGCAGGTAAATTTTTCCCACGCACATGGCAACTGTATTTATATGGCTAAAGAACATATTATTTCACTGTATTATGCTACTGTCTTCACAAAGAAGTGTCTAGAGTCATGAAATGATTGTCTAGTCATCAACTATATTTTTATCCTGTTGTTTTATGTTCAAGACTTTTTGTCAAGACACTAATCCATAATGGTCAGTAGCCTAAGCTAAAAAAAAGTCTGAAAGTGACGTGACATGTGGCCAAGTATGGTGACCCATACTCGGAATTAGTGCTCTGCATTTATCCCATCCAAAGTGCACACACACAGCAGTGAACACACACACACACCGTGAACACGCACCCGGAGCAGTGGGCAGCCATTTTTTTGCTGCGGCGCCCGGGGAGCAGTTGGGGGTTCGGTGCCTTGCTCAAGGACACCTCAGTCGTGGTATCGAAGGTGGAAGAGAGCGCTGTACATTCACTCCCCCCACCTACAATCCCTGCCGGTACGAGACTTGAACCCGCAACCTTTGGGTTATGAGTCCGACTCTCTAACCATTAGGCCACGACTTCGCCATCTGCACTGACAGAGGTAGAAGGTAGTAGCCTAAATATTTGTGTGGTTTAATATTATAATACAATGCCATTAATCAATATATTAAGATAACCCATGCTATGAATGACTAAAACAGCCTATAGACAATAATGAGCAATAATAATTCACCACACTGCATAGGATGATGCGATGAAAAATTCAAGCACACAGCTTCACCTAAATATTTATTAATTTGTTTAGTTATATCATTTATAATTTGAATAAGAGAACAACACCATTAAACTTTGGGTAATCAAAAAAAT